CTGGCACCCGACCCCGTGTGGAGTCTCCAAACCCAGCAGATCCCTGCGGTGCGCTCCCGCGCCGCTCCTCCCGGGGGAGGAAGGGGCGTCTCGCCGGATCTGGCGCTTGTTGGGTCCCTGCTGGAGGAGCAGTAGCCCGACTGGGCCGCGGATCACAGTTTATGGCAACCCCGAGCTGAGAGCCCGCGCCGCGCCTCCGTCTCTGCAGCTGGCTTCCCCGCTCCGATCTCTGGGAGCTCTGCCGCACTCAGGCACCCCCGGTCTTTCTGTGACCCCGAGGGTCCTGAGACCACACTGTCCCGCAAGGGTTCCACCCCCCTGCTTAGCCACTGGAGCGACGTCCCTCAGCAGAGCCGGCTTCTAAAAGTTCCGATTTTGTGCTCCGTGGCTCTATCACTTGCCAGAAGCGGCCGACGGAGGCCCCTCCCTCGCCATCTATCCTCCTGAATATCACCTCGGATTCACTTCTCCGCACGTCCTACCTTCCAGAAAGTGGTCGCTTTTCTGTTCAGAGTGTTGTTACTATTCTTATCTTCGATCTCCTGTTGAGTTCGTAGGTGTTCAGAATGGTTTGATCCCTATTCAGCTGAATTCCTGAGACCAGACGAAATCCAGGTCTCCTACTCCTCCGCCATCTTGCCCCGCCCCCTAAATACATTTTTGTTAAGTTTTGTTTCATTTTTATTTCAAGGTGAAGTCCCAATTAAACCTTATTCTCACAAACTACTCTGAGCTTATGGTGTCTAATTTAAATGAATTCCCTCCCCGTGGGTTTTTTTTACTCTGGTCTAGTTTTTCTGGGATCACAAAGACTTTCTGTGGTGCCTGTCCCTTGGCCATGTCCTTTACTCCCAGGAAGAAAAGTAGTTGGGTTTCTGGTTAGAAACTTTACATTGTGTGATAATCCCTTTCCACCTACTGCTACTCCTTGGAGGGGCTTTTCTTATTATCCACAGGCCACTTCTTCTGCAGAGCCATGAGCTCCGTGGCTCAGCCAGCTGAGAAGGAAGGGGAGTATTTGGCGCTTTGCAAGAAGGAGTTAATCTCCGTGAAGATAGTTGAAGGCGAATCCGAGTGGGAGGGCGTGTCCCTGGTGACGGGTCAGCGGGGCCTGGTGCCCCTGTCAGCTCTGGAACCTCTGCCGCTCCCTTTCCACCAGTGAGTAGCCAACTGCATCTCGGGCGTGGGTCCCAGAGCAGACTGAGATCTGAACAGAACAGAGTAGATAGGCTTGCAGATACGGACATCCGACGGTGCTAGGGAGGGAACAAAATCTGGGCGTGTGTGTGTGTGTGTGTGTTTTGTTTTGCTTTTTTTTGGTCTTTTGTTATTTATTTTTTTAACAGTCAAAATTTGCACAATGTGGTGAAATCGGAGACAACTCAAAATTTCAGATGGACATCGTACCTAAGAGGAAACCTACTGCCTGGTCTTCAAATGCAGTGTTTCTCAATATGGGGACTGGGGACCATTTGTATCAGAATCACCTGGGGATTTATTGCGAGTTCAGCTCTCCTGGCCATCCTCAGACTCTTTTGGGATTAGATTCAGGAATTTGCATTTTATATAAGCTCCCCTTGAATATAAGGGGATGTAGTCCATACTTAAGTTTGAGAATCTGGGCCTGAAGGTTTTGTAAACTCAAACATCCAGAGTGCCAATACACATGATCCCAGGCTATGGACCCTGTGGTTCGCCCTGGCAGAGAATCTGACAGTGAGAATTGGAAAGAGAGCCTTTGTTAGTTATTTAACCAGCAAACTAATTTAGAGCCAGAAAACATCCTAGGCCTGCTGAACTCCTCTCCTTTTCACAGTGCCTGATACAAAGTAAGTTCTCAGTAAATGTTTGCCATTGTTATAATAGGAGTACTAACTGTGATACTTATGATCATTGCCATTGTTGTTATTTTAATGAACTATTCTGCTCGCTGCTGTCATTTTTTGAAATCATGTTTGCAAACCCCATGTTTCCATTGGCAGATGGTTCCTAAAGAATTATCCAGGAAGCTGTGGCCTTTCCAGGAAGAGGGATTGGACAGGCTCCTATCAGATCGGTATGGCTGAGTTGAAGACAGTGTTGTCAGGAAGATAATACTGCCCTGCCTCCCAATTTTATTTGCAAGTTTGGAATCAGTTGATGTGAATTCCTGCTTAGCCTCTGCTGCTGGCTGGACGTGGAGAAGCCAGTTGCTGTCTATAACATGGGTTTCCTTCCTTTGAGATGAGAGGTCTCAATCCAGGGCTGCTGGTACAAATGCTCACTGTGGCAGACACAACAAACAGATTCATGAGAGCCTGGGTGGAAGAGGTTAACGAATGGTGGGGACCATGGGGATTTAATGATATATCAGGTGACTAAAAAGCCCAATGTAGGCCACACGGGGCCTGCAGGTTGTCTGTTTTCAATCTCGGGTCAAAACGTTTTCAATTTCCCTTAAACTTTTGTGAAATTGGTCTTGAATTTAGGAAGAGTAGGAATGCCTGGCACATGATGGAAATACTCAGTAAATATTTGTTGAATAAATAAATGAAATATATAATAGTATGTATTATGTAAACATGCATATATTTTAGGGAATCTCTATGTGAATCTCTATGTTTGTGGGTACCCATGCATATACATACATATACACATGTATCTGTAAGTACATATGTATCTACTGGAAATGAACTTTAATGTTTTCTAGTACCTAGAACATATATTCCTTTCATCTTCATCCTTAGAGCCCCTCCCACCACCAACCAGCCTAGCCCAAGTGCAATTTTGTAAGCTGTGAGCCCAAATAACACTTTTTAAAAAAGAAATAGAGGTAGGGGCCCCTGGGTGGCTCAGTCTGCTGAGCGCCCGACTCTTAATTTTGGCTCAGGTCATGATCTCAGGGTCCTGAGATCGAGGCCTGTGTTGGGCTCTATGCTCAGCTGGGAGCCTGCCTGAGATTCTCTCTCTCCCTCTTTCCCTGCCCCTGCTCACTCACTCTCTATCTCTCTAAAATAAATAAATAAATTTAAAAAAAGAAATGGAAGGGATTATGGAATGTAGACATTAATGCTAATCAATTAACTGACCATAAACAAGATTTTTGGCTATCTGAGGCAGTATAAGCATTCCTTGGAATTATGAATACAGGGCTGTGAAGTTTGTTCTCAGTTCAAATACTGGCTCCACACCTTAAAACCAGTGTGCCCTCGGCCAATTCGTGAGCTCTCACTATGCTACAAGTTTCTCATGAGTAAGATGTTACCGTAAAACTGACTTTGAATGCCATGAAAAATCAATTAAATGACGTCTGAAAATCACTCAGTACAGTTTTTTCACACTGCAAGTGTTTAACACGCTATAGATCCTATTAGCCTACAAAGTGGTGGGAATTTCTCCTCTTGAGGACACAATCAATAGAAACTTGATCAAAAACGTCAGGGGGAGAAAGAAAGCCAGTAGCTGTAGCAGAGAAGCTAAAGCAAACATGGAAACCAAGACACACAAAAGCCACTATCTCTAGCAAAGCACCATTAGTGGGAAGAAGGGTTAACCAGCAGTTGGTTAACCCAGCTCCTTGGACAAATCACAGACCTTCTCTGTACTTCCACCTTTTAACCTATAAAAAGGGGAGTCTGTTGGTTGCTCTACCTAACCTTAGGACTCTTGGAAAGATCTGAGAAAACAGGCTTACATGTACTTTGTAAACTGGACAGCACAGAGCTCATAAATATGTCATTACTAGATCTTAGCTGGGTGACTCATCAAGCTGAGCAATGACCCTAGTCAGAAGGGGAGTCTTCCAAATCCCTCTGAGGCCTGCGCAGTTTTCTGTTTACCAGTAATGGGAGGCTAACATTTTTTGAAGGTTGAATAGGTACGAGGCACAGTGCACTTAATCTCTTTGACTTTTCCTAATATCTATGAGACAAGTATTTTTACTATTCCCATTTTACAGTTGGAGAGACTGAGGGTCATAGCCAAAGGATCTGGAAGGAAATGGAGAGATCCCACAATGTTTCTCACCATGGTCTGTGGATTTGTGCTAACCATGATGAAGTATTTACATGATAATGGCAAATCAGACACAGTAAGGCAATATAGTAAGCTTTCCAGTTTCCCATGAGTGAACTTTATTCAGTTTTAGGTATTCTGAGATGATCTTTCCTCCATTTGTTAAAACATCCTTTCTTTTGTAAAGTGATGGTGAAAGTGGATGGTAGTTCCTTTCTTTGAATGTCCTAGTTTGGCAAAATTAAAAGCCAGTTACCCTGTGTCATTCCTGCCAATTTCTTTCTCTGGGGTGGGGAGATGATGTTATTGGTCCTCGAAATTCTAAATTTTGGGGACCCTTCATTTCATATTACACCAAGAGCAGTTTCTGCCTTATTTGGTTGACATGGATGTTATTTCTCCACAGGTCGAGGAAAATGTAAGGCCTGGAAGGAATATGAGAGGGAAGAAAAGGATGAGCTGAATTTTCACCAGGGAGAAAGCATCGAGATCATCGGCTTTGTCATACCTGGGCTTCAGTGGTTCATTGGGAAGTCAACACGCTCAGGAGAAGTGGGCTTTGTTCCCACCAGGAGCATAGATCCTGAGTCGTATTCCCCAATGTGAGTATGGCAGAGGGGCCTTCTGGGATGTCCTGGAGAGGGCCACCTTCCCCGTCTCTCTGGGGTGGGCATCCTGCATGGGGATAGGAAACAGGACGAAGCCTGGGCCCTGAAAGTACCAGAGGGAACACAGAGTTGGCTGCTAGCACAGAGACACTGGGAAAATGTGGCCCCAGGACTGTCCAAGGCCCTGCACACGCAGACTAGAATGTCTTCCTTTGTACAAAAGAGCCACCGAGGAGAGTGGATCACGGTCAGAAGCTCCCTTTAAACCCTGCCCTTTGTAGGAGGAGGAGACAGAAGGTCATTTTCCCTACACAGAAATGTGGGAACTCAAGTGACTCTAAAGGAGGAAGAGCGATCGCCGAGCCCCTAGAAGATTATGAAGTGAACGGGAGTTTATAAGCTGGAAAATGGTGTCAGGAGAACTTTCGTGAAATAGGCAATATCTGAGTTCAACTTTGTAGGATGCAAGATATTTCAACAGATGGAAATGGGGAAAAGCGATCACAGGTAGGAAAGTGAGGGGCTGTGTGAGGAATAACTAGTGTTGGTTGAGAGGCAGGTTACCAGGAGGGCATTGGTGTGGCAAAGGTCAGTGGGACCGTGACATGGCAGAGAATGCCAACCCAGCCACTGAGTATCTCTGAGCAAGAGTGACGAATGATGAGACTGGAATCCTGGCTTTAAGTGAGGCGTGCAAGGACAGGGGAGAACCTGGAGGCAGGACACCAGTGAGGAGACCAAGGCTGATACTTGGGAAGGGGTGGGGGAGTGGGGAGGAGAGGACACAGCTGAGGACCGATCAACAGGAATTTAGAGATTCCAGGAGCTTCACAAATATGGATGCCCGTGTTCTGCCTCCAGAGGTTCTGTCTCATTGGTGTGGGTGGGGCCTGGCAGCCATGGTTATGAAAGCTCCCCAGGTGGGGCTAATGGGCAGCCAAGGTGCGAACCACTGCTCAAAGCACCCCCTCATTTACCGCAGGGGCAAATGAGGATCCCAGGAGTGAAAGGGCTGAACCCAAGGCCTTGGGTCTGGAACTCCAGAATCCTGACGTTAAATCTAGGGTTCTTTTTCCGCCATACAGATCTGCAGCTGATGTCTGGTAAGAGGGGGAAAGAATAAAGAGACAGAGATTTGGTGAGGAAGAGCAATTTACAGAGCAGAGGAAGAAAGAATGTAGCAAAGGAGATAAAGGAACAAAGGAGCCACATGAGAGGAAGGAAAGGAGTTGGGTGGGGGGACAGTTAACACTGTTGCAGACTGCAGAGAGGTAAAGCAGGGCTGCCTGCTGAAAGGCCTTTGGGATTGGCCACTGGTCATCGAGAGGTCAGTGGCCATTGGGAGGTACCTGGTCATCAGGAGGCAGAGTAGCTTAGTAATCAGACTTCCAGAGCCAGACTGCCCGAAGGGCATTTATGGCCATGGAAGCACATTGTGTGTCTCCATTAGCTGACCGGCTTAACGACCTTGGGCATGTTAACTGGTCTCTCTATGCCTCAGGTTTCTCATCTGTAAAATGCATACGGTATTAGTATTTGCCCATAGGATTGTAAGGAGTTGACGTGAACTAACACATGTAAAGCACTTAGAATGGTGTCTGGCACAGTTTTTGTGTGTATGATCAATATGCATTAACTCTTCCTATGGCTGTTCCTGCCGTGGGTGGTAATCTTTGAGAGGCAATTTTAATAGGACATCGGGTGCAGGTGTCAGATTTCATAAACTATATTCAGACTTCTGTACCTCATACCGTGCCCCAAATCGCAGTAACTTATACCACTAAATTAATTTGATTATCATATTTTGGCCGGCTTAGTTGTAGGGGATACACTCTCGCCATGAAGAACACCACCCCTTGTATCGAAGTGGGGGAATGAGAACTTCTCCTTATTCCTACAGTGTCTTCTGTGGGACCCCATCACCAGAGACTGCACATTGCGTAGGGAAGGGGTGAGTGAGCCAGGAGACAGGCAGAGGTGGAAGAAGGAGGGGAGAGAGGAACTGGCTCATCGCATCCTCCCCAGCACTCTCTAGATCACGGACCTCCCCAAAATACAGCAATGAGAGAAAAAGCCCACAAGCCACCTGGCCACAAGCACAGCCAGGGTGTGGAGTCCTGGGAATCATCCTGTGTGCTATGCAGGAGGTCTGGCCACTGGGTGTCACTCTAAGTCCGTGTTCACTTGGTATAAGGCTTCTGAAGAAAGTCCTGTGTTTGCTGGTCTCCATCCTCTTCCCACAGGCTCTGTCCCTGTGCTAGTTAGTATATTTCTCCTTAAAGTGTATTCATTGATTGATTGATTCATTCATTCACTAATCATTCATTCATTCACTCATCCATCCAACCATCCATCCATCCATCCATCCATCCATCCATCCATCCATCAGTTCATTCAGCCAGCCACCTTCCCTCCTGTTCATCCGTCCATCCATCCATCCATCCGTCCATCCGTCCATCCATCCATCCGTCCATCTATCCATCCATCCATCCAACCATGTTCATCCGTCCATCCATCCATCCATCCATCCATCCATCCAACCATCCATCCATCCATCCATCCATCCATCCATCCATCCATCCATCCATCCATCTGTATTTATTTAACCAAATCGGCAGTATATTGAGAGTGAAATTTCTCAGAAGCTGTTTTGTGAGTCAGATTTAGTCTGTGCCTCTGACACATGGGAAAGGGATCCCGTTTTTTCCACGGCGGCAAAGTTGTGGGTTTCCTTTTATTTACAGCTCATACTTCAACACCAGCTAAAACTTGGGGCAGGCATTCTGTCTGAATAGATATGGTATTTGTTTTGGCCAGAGTGCCTTTAGAGATTTAAGAGTTGCTGATGGTGACAGAATGCCACACCTTTCCTTTGGTTTTATGCTTTTAAAAAATATTTGCTATGTGTGTATTTGTGTGTGTGCGTGCGTGTGTGTGTGTGTGTGTGTGCTGAGGGGAAAAATGTCTTTAGATATAACTGAAGACCCCCATTACTCCTTCCTTCTTTGATCGTGTGATCCTGATTCTTACCCCAGGGGCGGACTCTAGTTGAAGCTGATATGTATCTTCCCAGTCATCATTCTGATTGATACATTTTAGAAATGGGTATTTGTAAAAAAACACACAAGAGTTTTGTGTATTTAAAAATGTATATACACGTTTTTTTTTTTTTTCTGTAACTGGCCCCTTTTTTTCAGTTGATATGGTAAATTTAGGATTTATTCACATTGTGTTAGATATGGTTCATTTTAGTAAAGTGTTATTTAAAGGAAATTTATATATTTAAATGTGTAAATTAAAAAATAAGCAAGGTTGAAAAATTAATGCACTCAATACCAGAAAAAAGAACACAGGAGATAAGCCAGCATTTCATAGTATTAGAAATTTGAAAAATTCTATTTTTCCTATATCCCTTTTTTTATTCTTCATGTTGTTTATCTCTGTCTTCTTGATAATTCCATTTCTTGTGGCATCTATTTTTGCTGATAAGAAGTTTGCTGTTAGTCTCATAGCCGTTTCTTTGCAGGTAGGCGGCTTTTTTTCTTTCTTTTTTTTAAAGTTTTTCTTACTGATGATATATCTAGATGTGATATATTCTGTTACATATTTATCGCAAGGTGTCCACTGTGTATCTTTTAGTAGTTATTTTAGTGGAGATCTGTGAATTTTAACTACTCTCAGTCTTTACTCCTTGTTTGTCTTAAATATACTTAAAATATACTTGTGAATGATAATTTAGCTAAGTGTAGAATAACCTTCAAAGTGGAGCGGAAAGTAACTATTAGTATAAAATTTCAAATCTGTTTTGCTAGGATTTTGTCCATTAATCCTTAGAGAAAAACAATTTTTCTTATGTTGACCATCTTTATTGTTTCATTGTTTTCTATTTCACTAATTTCATATTTATCTTTATTATTTTCTTCTACTTTGTTTTTATTTCATTGAGTTATGCCCTTATCCTTTCTGTTTAACTCTTTCATCCTGTAAATTGAACTGTCAAGTGTTAGATTATTGAAGCCCAAAAGAAGGATCAGGAGAAATAGAAAACACAAAGAGAAGGATAAACCTAAAGAAATGGAAGTCATGTTGAAAATGATATTATTTTTATTTATTTTGCTTAGGATGTGGTGTACTTCTTCAGTTTGAAGACTCATGTCTTTCTTCAATTCTGGAAAATTCTCAGTCACTCTCCCTTTGAATATTTGCCTCTCTCTCATTCTTTTTAGTCTCTCTTCTGGAATTCCTAACAGAGGTATGTTGGACTTGCCATTCTAGCTTCAGTCTTGCCTAATCAGTTCTTTTATATTTTTCATCTTTTTGTCCCTCTAGGTGCATTCTGGGTGATTTCCTCCAAACAGTCTGAGTTTCACTAATTCTCTCCTCTGCTGTGACTCAACCTGCTGCTGAACTCACTCCTGTAGTTCTAAGTGTCCATGCCTTTGTCTTCATTTCTAGAGTTTCTATTTTGCTATTTTCCACATATACTTATTTCTGCTCACCAGGTTCCATATTTTCCCTGTAGCTTCTAGTCAGTCTTTCATGTCATCATTTTAACCATGCTTATTATAAGTTAATCTTTAGATTGTTGTTATTTCTAGTTCTTGTAGTGTTGATTTACCTATTTGTGCACCTGCTGGTATTCATTGTCAGTAGTTCCCTTTCTTGTGTTTGTAGTTTGGTTATGTGAATGGATTTTCAACATTTTACTTTTTCTTATTTTAATTTTTTTAAAAAGATTTATTTATTTGAGAGAGAGAGTATGTGCACGTGCAAGTGTGTGAGTGCATGTGTGAGGAGGGGCAGAGGGAGAGAAACTCAAGCAGGTTCCCTACTGGGCATGAGCCTGATTCGGGGCTCAATTCCATGACCCATGAGATCATGACCTACCCGAAATCACGAGCTGGATGCTTAACCCACTGAGCCACCTGGTTGCCCCGAATTTTCAACAAAGACGCCCTGCCCTGACTTTCAAAGAGTATTTGCATGAAGCCTCAACTGAAGAAAACATCCCAGTAGAACAGTTTTGGCCTTTGTTTTCCCTGGAAATTTAGGAACTCAGTGGTCCAGGGCTGGTTTTTTAATGTAAAGTTCTTTGATTGTACTTACACTGCACAGTGTAAATCAGAGCCCACACCTTCTAATGGTGTAAGTCCAGGTGTTTGATTTTTTTTTTTCTGGGGACGCAGACAGATGGAAAATGGGAAAATGTGTTGTTGGTAGGTGAGTTTTCCCATCTCCTCTTCACAGAAGCTGCAGTTCTTGCTGACGTCAGGCTGTAGGGAGCTCAAAGCTATGTAGGGAGCTCAGTTCAGCTTCCCTGCTTCACATAGACCCAAAGTCCCATGTCCTGTCCCTGGGTGGCATTACAGGGTGAGCCCCAGGTCTGAGGCCAGGGTCCCAGCTGAGAACTGCAACCACACCCCACCCCCCCCAACCCAGGCCATCTGCTGTTGTTTTACCAACTCGGCTTTGGTTTCTCCTTTTGTTCCTGGCTCCCAGGCATTTCCCTTTCTTTCTTTCAAGTCAAAGAATGTATTAAAATATTTATCCTTGTCACATTTTATCTAGGATTTCTCTGTGTTTGTGGCTCCTGTGGAGCACCTCAGCCTGCCATATTTCTAGAAGTCTTACCATTCTAACCCCATTTCCATGCTAGGAACACCCTATTGTAATTTGTCAAACTTCTTGGATTCTTTCTAAATACCTGGGACTCAGGACATGAGCAGATCAGCTGTGAGGAAATGGGCTACAGAGGTAGAAGATCAGTTTCTGTTTTAGCTTTACCACTTGCTAGCTGTGTCATTCTGAGCATGTCACTAAATGAAATAGTAAATTCAGGAATGCTTTGTAAAGTTTAAACGTTCTGCAGAAATTTGAAATCATATAATGATTTTATATAATCATATGATGACTATAATGATTTCTTCTCTCAGATGAGCTTAGTTGTAGATTTCAACTAGATGCTCTTTTGAGGATGGCTGGTGCTGGGAGAATCTGGAAGTCAGGCCAGAGACATGTGGGCTCAATAACTGTCCTGGAAAGAGTCCTGGACCAGACGTCAGGACATAGCTCTCGTGCCGGTCTGTCACTAATTAGTGGTGTGACCTTAAGTAGTTCATATTAGTTCCTGCTTTCCTCGTCACTGGCTTTACCTGAGTTATGAGGACAAAATGTAGGTGGCAGACCATGGCAATCCCATCCCCGCCCCTCCCTTAATTCTGCTTGAACTAGAGAAGCTTTTTTTTTTTTAACCACTTCCTAGTTACCAACTTTATTTTTCTGTGCCTCAGTTTCATTCTCTGTAAAAAGGAGTAAGAATAGTACCTGCCTCATTGGGTAATTGTGTAGATTAAGGAGATAAGGGTGTCTGATTCATAACATACTCCCCCGCCCCAAGTATTAGCTATTGTAACCTCTTGGGCTTCCAAGTTATTTTTGTTAAAAGATTGGTTCCTGAGGTTACTCTCCACCCCCCAACTTTATTTAGACCTGAAAGAGATCTTAAAAATTGTTCAGGTAGATTTTCGATTGAATGTTTTCTGAGGCACTTCTAGTTTTCACATTCTTTGATTATATGGCAAATTGCTAGTAAGCAAATTAGTTTTAACAATGAGTTTATATGGTACAGTGAGTATAAGGATCTCTATTATTTGCAGTCATTTCTTCCAGCCCCTGACCTTCCTTCTGCCCACTTCCCGTCCCCTCTCTGAATGCCACATAATGCTCTCGTTCTGTGCCATGGAATCAGGTGTCACCAGTTGTGAAAGTTTCTTCTGATCATAGTCAAACTCTTTTCATTGCTTCTCCAGATTGTGTCACCTGTCCCTCGTGTTTTCTTGAAATAACCCGACAAAGAAACATCTTTTCATGGTCCCTTTTCAACCCTTAACCATTGGGGCAGTCGGTTTGTATTTCTCTATTAAAAATGGGAACCAGGTGGTCTCAAAGAAAGGGTAGGGGTCAAGAGAAGGGGCTTTGTTTTTCTCGGGAGATGGAGTTTTAACAGGAGGGGTGTTTTCATCCCCACTGTGACCCGTTCAGCAGCCACGTAGCTCGTTTCTTCATGAACGGGGTGCTCAGAGCTCTTCTCCCTGGGCAGCAGAGATAAATAGATTGTACAACAGTGGGATGAGGAGTCTGGTTGCAGCTGTGGCAAGCACGTCGGAGGCTTCTCTCTGTCCTTCACTGTGTCCTGGGCTGGAGAGAGAACGGTTGTGTCTGGAGCCTTGCACTGATCTGTGTCCATGTCTTTTGTCTCAATGCAGGAACAAGAGCTCCGCCTTTTTCAGTGACGAGGAAAGATGCTCTCTGTGGGTCCTGGGAAGTGACAGGAAAGCTGAGTGTGCCAGCTTCCTCCACACGCTTGCTCATACTGACATAGCATCTGTCTACCGGCTTAGTGAGTGTTTGCTCCTCAGACCCCTTTGAAAGCTCAGCTCAGCTCAGCGAGAGCATGAGAGGCCAGCCCTACTGAGCCTTCCATTCGAATCTTGGAAAGAAAAACTCCTGAGTTGTGGCTGAGGTCGCTTCTTCTAGGGCTGAAGGAGGTCTAGGTCCCCAATGATAAAGGCAAGACCATAGAATGTTACAGCTTCTAAGAGGTGATTTCTCCTCCCATTTTACAGCTTGGGAAACTGAGGCCCTGGTGAATTAGTGCCTTCCCCATTTTCTAGTCAGGACACTCCCTACTCCACCACACTGCCCCCAACACAAACTGATGCTGGACTGCCGGGTGGGGGGAGGGGGGCGTTGGCTTTGGGCGGGGGAGGGCCCTCCTTTCGGCCAGTTCTCATCAGTGTCTGAATGACTAAGCAAATGAATGCCATGCCTTTCCCTTACTTTGGAAGCGCCCACTGCTCTGTGTCAGGAAGTACATTCACCTTGTGGTAGTGGTTTGAGGAAGGATTCGTGTTTCCCCCATCTCTTCAGCGATGGTGGTGTTGTGTCCACCCTTGTGTGGCCAGATTGGACGGGGCACACTTCATAGGCACAGAAGAGAGATTCTGCAGAAGGAGCCCTCAGGCCTGCTCCCCGGAGCAGAGGTGGGCATCAGAGACTCTCACCCTGCACAAGGGGCATTTGAGAGGAGCACCTAGCCACGAACTTTCTTGCCACAAACAGACCACACCACCCACCAGGGTGAACCAGGAAGCTGAAGCTATGGGCACTGCCTGGTGGGGGGACCTGAGGTCTGAAAATCCAGGACAACTTCAGGTGTGCCTTGGACAGGGGTGGGCCACAGGCTTGGATCTAAGAGGTCCACTCACTGTGGATCCAGTGGTAGGGAGAGATCTAGGAACAGGTCCCAGGCAGCCCATTGCCTCCTATGTAAAGCCCGGGAGTGCAGCTCTGCTGGATGCAGGCCAGAGCCTCATGATGATGCAGGCATCCCCTGACACCACGGCGGCCAGCAGAGGGGCATCCTATTGGTAAATTCCAGCTTCCCCAAAGCCTCTGACGTGGGGAAGGAGTCCCCTCTGTAATTCTTCCTCCCAGAGGGGGCATCATTTTGTAACTCATGCACCATTTGCGTTCTCGGTGGTCCTGGCCTGGAGTGAGGCTGGCACGGGCTCCCAATGTCAGCGAGGGCTGGGGCACAAGGCAGCTCCCTAGCTGTGCCATGTTAGGCACGGGGCCTTCTACCGCTGCAGGTTACAGATCTCACGTAGCTACAGCGACTCTCACAGAGGGTAATAGGCGGCGGCTTGACTGGGTGTGGGGCCCGCTGTCCTCAAAGTCCACCAGAGATCCCAGGGCGAGGGCACAGGCAGTTGGCGCCTCTCTGCTGGGAAGAGGTAGAATCTTATTTCCAGCAGCCCCTGTCCTGGGGGGCCGTGAATCTGGCCTTCACCTCCACAGTTAGACCCAAGAGGGTTCAGTTCTTTGCTGCCAAACCCAGGCCTCCTTTCACTTTTGTGACGTTACGTGGCTGTCCCAGAGGCACCTTGGTCTCCTTGTCTCTTTGCTCCCAGACTGTGCCTTTCCAGTCCCCTTTGCTCCCTCCCACCTGCTGGGAAATGCTGACGTTTCTTTGGCTCCTTCACAAACTCCCCTTCCCCAGCTGCTTTGCCTTCTTGTCTGAATGCTTCTCCTAGGACTTGGACCCATTCCTCGTGGCCCGCTGGGGGTCCTAAATCTGTATTTGCAAGGCTCAACTTTTTTTCTCTGGCTACAGATCTACTTCCTTTTCAGCCTATAGGTCCTGTGAGTACCTCAGATGCAGAATGTCTGAAGCTCTGCTCCAGACTGTCCCTTCTTCCACCTCATCCCATGAAGTGACTTCAGGGAACAAAACTAGGACCCTCAGATGCCTCCTCACTCTCTTTTCTTCATTAGTCACCTTTGGTCACCTAGTCCTGTGGCGCATTGTACAGCTGAGTCAATGACAGTTGAGAGGATGGATGATGTGTCAATGGAGGAAGGAAGAAGGAAGGATGTACACATGAAAATGGGAGCTGGTGCCACATGTTTTGTTTATGGCTCTGCTGTCAGCTAGCCGGGGGATTTGGTTCTTTAGATTCTGTCATCCTCTCCATACCCACACCTCCTGGAAAAGAACTTGTGTTTCTAGCTTCTCTGCTTTTCTTTTCTGGCTCTGGGTCTAATTTCTACCTCAGTTCCCAACTCTAAAGTGAGTGGCTTAAACAAGATACTCTGCAGGTCCCTGCAGCTCTTGAACTGATGATGAAGGAGAGAATTCTACCCAGGTTCTCAGAGGAATTTAAACACAAAGTGTCCTCAGGGACCACGGGTCTGGGGTGCACCTGCAGGCATAGGCATGGTGGCCCATTCTGACCTAACACCGGTCTGTCCTTCATCTCTATCCAGGTGGGTTTGAATCCATCCAGAATCTTCCAAACGATCTAAGTGGTGAGTAGAGATCATGCTGAACCTGACTTCCAGTCCTTCAGAACAGCATCCTGTCCTCTTGCCAGGAGCTGGCCACCACAGTGGCAGGTGCTCATGGTCGCTCAACTCTGCCTGTCCCTTACAGCGTCCCAGCCTGAAGGCTTCAAGGAGGCCAGGCCTGGCAGAGCCTGGGAGGAGCATCAGGCCGTGGGCTCCAGACAGTCCAGCAGCTCTGAGGACTCCAGCCTGGAGGAGGAGCTCCTCTCAGCCGCCTCGGACAGCTATCACTTGCCGGAGCCTGATGACCTCGATGACCCGGAACTGCTCGTGGACCTGAATGCTAGTCAGGAAGAGGAGGAGGCTGAGAACTTCGCCCCCATATTGGCTTTTCTGGATCACGAGGGTTATGCTGACCACTTTAAGAGCCTCTATGATTTCTCCTTCTCTTTCCTCACATCTTCCTTTTACAGCTTCTCTGAGGAGGATGAACTTGTGGCCTACCTGGAGGCCTCAAGGAAGTGGGCCAAGCGGAGCCGCAGGACCTGGGCCCACGCCCGGCTCTGCTTCCTCCTGGGCCGGCTGAGTGTCAGGAAGGTCAAACTCTCCCAGGCCAGGGTCTACTTTGAGGAGGCTATGTACATCCTTGATGGGACATTTAAAGACCTATCCTTGGTGGCTGCTCTGTATATCAATCTGGCTGCCATCTATCTGAGGCAGAGGCTAAGGCATAAAGGCTCGGCTCTGCTGGAAAAAGCAGGGGCCCTGCTGGCCTGCCTGCCAGACCGTGAGTCTAGTACCAAGAATGAGCTCGACGTGGTGGCCTACGTATTACGCCAGGGCATTGTGTCAGGCAGTTGTCCCTTGGAGGCCAGGGCCTGCTTCCTGGCCATCCGACTGCTCCTAAGCCTAGGCCGGCATGAGGAGGTCCTGCCCTTCGCCGAGCGCCTGCAGCTCCTCTCTGGACACCTTCCTGACTTGGAAGTTACAGCAACCATCTTGAGTTTTCTGTATGATAAGAAATATCTCCCACACCTTGCAGTGGCCTCTGTCCGGGAACATGGTACCCAGAGTGGCCAAGGGATGTCCTTTCCAATTTGGCAGGTCTACCTGGTTCTCCAGAACACCACCAAACTCCTTGGAGTTCCCTCTTCAAGCTGGGGTGAAGTTTCTGCTCTGGCCTGCCCAGCACTCAGCCAGGCACTGGCTGCCTGTGAGGAGCAGGCCAGTCGGAGCACCCAGAGGGCCCTATGTCTCATCCTGTCCAAAGTGTACCTCCAACACAGGTCTCCCGATGGTGCCATTCACTACCTGAGCCAGGCCTTGGTGCTAGGGCAGCTGCTGAGTGAGCAGGAAGCCTTTGAGTCTTCCCTCTGCCTGGCATGGGCATATCTCTTAGCCAGCCAGGCCAAGAAGGCTTTGGACATCCTCGAGCCCCTCCTATACTCTCAGAAGGAGACAGAGAGTATCACCCAAAAGGGGGTGGTCCATAACCTCCTGGGACTTGCACTTCAAGGTGAAGGCCGGGTGAACAGGGCAGCCAAGAGCTATCTCCGGGCCTTGAACAGAGCTCAGGAAATGGGGAATGTGCGTAACCAGGCGGTGACGTTGGCCAATCTTGGCCACCTGACCCTTATGTCCTGGGCTCAGCAGCCAGCCGAGGACTATCTCCTGCAGGCCATCCGACTCTATTCTGAACTCCAGACCAGCATGGAGACAGACATGGAATTAGTACAGGTCCTTCTCTGGTTGGCCCAAGTCCTGGTGTGTGGGCGCCAGCCAGCCCGTGGCCGCCTTTGTTATGAAATGGCATTGCTGTTTGGCTTAAGGCATCGACACCTGAAGAGTGAGTATGTCCTGTGCTACTGGAAGCTTTAGAGAAAAGTGTGAGAGCACGTTTTGCCCTCGTCCTATCTCAAGCGATCTCATTCATGTCCCTGCTTTATGTTCAGGTCAGCTTCAGGTCACCAAATCCCTCTGCCATTTCTACAGCTCTGTATCCCCAGACCCCAAGGCATGCATCACCTACCACGAACACTGGCTGACCCTGGCTCAGCAACTCAGGGACCGAGAGATGGAGGGGAGGCTGCTGGAGTCCCTCGGGCAGCTCTATCGGAACCTGAACACGGCCAGGTGAGTCGGGGCTTGGGGACGGGTCTAGAAACAGCTTATCTTCCTTCAAGAGAAACAGCATTCTTTTCCTCCGGAAGTAAAGTTCCCAGGCTCATGGTGTGTTTATGGCATCATGGAAAAAAGCGTGGGACCTGCAGCCACCACACAGTGTCCTCTTTCACTTATTAGCTGTGTGACTTTGAGCAAGCTACTTAATTTCACCCTACCTCAACTTCCTCATCGAAGACAATAATGGTGGCATCTACACTATAGTATTCATGTGGGGAATAAATGAGCTGGAACCCTTGGAACAGTGCCTGATCCGTGGAGGGGGCTCGGTGATGTTGGCTGGGTTGCAGTTACTCCCTTATGTCCGTAATAAGCATCACGTGATCCTGGCTGAGGGTAGCTAATTCAGAGAGGTGGCAGTTATAACCAGGCTGGCCCCCTCAGGAAGCCTTGGTTACCTGAGGACGGGGCGGGGTTGGGGGGGTGCGGGGTGTTAGAGAAATGGCACAAAGTGAATCGATCCACTGGCAGGTGGGTAAAATTTCATCGCAAAGAAGTTTGATTTGGAACCTTCCCTTTTATGAAATGAAACTGGAAATGACAGAACTGAGTTTATTTCCACCGTTTAGTGAAGAGACTTCGGTGAGAATTGCAGCCATGCGATAAGTCATGGGATCAACCGCTAAAGAAGTGTTGATTTTTAGCTTAATTGTGTGGACAGAATTGCATAACAGCACCATGAAATACCCTTTGTGTTGTGATCGACTTTTCAGCCCTCTCTTCAAAAGGCTCCTTTTTGCAAAAATACACCAAAATGCAACTGTTTTACCCCAAAGCTCCTTTTAACCTCTTGATCTTTAAATTATTCCTACGTGAAGTATCCCGCCATGGCCTGCTGCCTTTCTCTTCTCTCATCTCCGTGCTGGGCGGAATCCGCTTACCCCTCATTCAGTTCTGCTTCCCCACAGGCCTTTAACTGATTCCATTACATTTCGCATGGTTTGCAAGATGTCCGATTTCATTTTGCAACAGATTGGCATCGTGGCATTGTATTCATAATTATGAATGACGTCTAAAATAGAGCCGAGATCATTGCTATCATTGAGCAGAGAGCGGTGGTTGAGGAGAAGGTAACTGAATGACAAGTGTTGCTTTTCTAGGCAACGTGGCAACCGTGGGACCCCTGACAACCAGATCACTAATAATCAGATAACAAATTCTCTCTCTCTCTCTCTCTGTCCCCCTTACTCTGTCTCCCTCTCCCTCACCCTTTCCCTCTCTTGGAAGAATCAGGGGTCCTCCAAACCTCCCACTATCTCTGCCTTCCATTCTAGGAAGGGAGTTTCAGATCCTTGCAGCATGGGAGGGGACAGGACTTGTGGTCCCAGAGCGACACTGCTTTCATTCTAGGACACAGTTCGCATGTCCTTTTATGGGGGAGTGGGTTTTTGGCGGTTCTTATTCCATTGTTCTGGAAGTTGATCCAGATGGGGATCTTTTAACCCTAATCTTCTATAAGTCTAATCTCTGAGATTCTGTCTTGTATAACTGGGGGAGGACATAAACCTCCCCTGCTCCTGCTTTACCACCAACGTGAGTGATACGAGGAAGTAGATCGAGAAGTGCCTCAGGTGTCAGAGGAAACCCTGCAAACATAAGGTCATTATCCCTTTGCAGAATGCTTGGTTTAACGAGGAGAACGTGCTATAATGCTACATTTATTTAGCATGTATAAATCACCTGCTCCTACAGAGTGCCCGGCAGACACAGGTAAACAGGTATTTGCATGCACCTGGAGGTGGTTACTGTAATTTTGCTCTAAGCTTCCTGGTAGCTGAGGTTAAAAGGGGAAAGCCACAAGAGGTTCTCACTGTCTGATTGAAAAAAAAAAACAACACAACATAAACAAATGTATCTGTGGGAGCAAATGTTTTTCTGGCACTGATTTCTAGGAGGTATTTAGTCAGTGGGTCTTAATATACAGATTTCTTCAACTAAACTCGCCCCACAAGATTTCCATCCTCATGAAGCTCAAAAGTAGCAAACACTCCTGGGCAAGATGGCAGGCGGCTGCAGGGGTGAGTGTGGGGGGGGGAAGAAGAGGACACTTGCCGCTGAGGGTTGGGGATCTGTCACAGAAGGCTGCGTGAAGGCGGTAGCGTTTGAGAAGGGCCATGGGGGATGGGTAGGATTTTGGAAAATGGAGGAGATTAAGAGAACAAGCATTTTGGGCCGAGGGACTGGAAGTAGCTGTGGAAAGGTGAGGACACATTTGGAAGGCATTCTGTAGGTTTGAGGAAGGTGGGTGTTCAAGTGGATGTGGGTAGTAGAGGAGAGAGAGGCCTCCAGCCCGTGCCCTAGGAGGTGGTGTAGGGGTGGGCTGGGGTGGGGAGCAGTGGGCCTCTGGACTGGCACAGCGAGCAGCCATAGTGAAAATGGTGGTCGTAATGGTGACTGACGGCGTTCAGTGAGCACGCGGCGTTTCCCAAGCAATGTGTAATCTCAGGATAACTGCGTGGGGGCACAAAGGGCTGTAGAAACAGAACGAAAGAAGCCAAGTAATTTGTATGAAGCTGCACAGTGGGGATCGATAGCCAGGCTAAGTCTAGCGCAGGAGTCAGCTAACTTTTTGGTAAAAGGTCAGATAGTAAATGTTTTAGGCTCTGTGGCCATGTGGTCTCTGTCACAAGTATACTGCAGGTGTGGCGTGCAGACAGCCGTCGATTACATACATGAATGAGTGTGGCTGTGTGCCACTGAGACTTTGTTTACAAAAGCAGGAGGAAGGCTGCGTTGGTTCATGGGCCAGAGTTCACCATAGTTCGCCAACCCCTGGTCTAGAGTCCGTATTCTTAACTACTCTGTAGGTCTTCTGCCTGTTCAGCCAATACTTTTCACCCTCAATAAACCATAAGTGTGGATGGTGATAGTGTGAAACCTCTGGGAGGTGTATGGACGAGAAGGGCCTCATTTTGCATCTGGTCTGACCCCTGCCTGCTCCAGAGCATCCAGACTGCTGACCCACTTGGTCACGCTGGGATCATCCCAGATCCTTGCCTCCTCCATTTAAGGTGGTTTCACTACTCCGTGCCACCTTGCTACTCATGTTAATTCCTCCTCTTTGAAAGATTTCTCTAGGGTTTAGAGGTGGAGGATGGTAGGGGAGGGCAAGAAGATGACGAAAGCTGTGGCCCAGCCTTTGGGGTTTTGCCTTGGAACACTTCGCTGTCCCTTTGTCCAGTACCTTTAGAGTCTGGCTCTCTCTGCCTCCAGGGTGACAACTATAGGATCTCGTGTTTTCGATCTCTCAATGCACAGTCCTTGGGGATCTTGTTTTCTGTCTTCAGGTGACACAATACAGACTGTACCTTGTTCTAGAGCTGAACCAGGTGGGATCCATGGGAATTTTGAGGCTCTATTGAATCCACGCAACAAGTATTTACTGAGCATTTACTATAGCCCAAACACCTGACAGAGAGATATGGTCCCTGAGCTCACAATGATTATAGGCTAGTTCAAGAAACTGACAATATTTATATACATATTCGCCAAAGGTATCCTATAAACTGTGGTAGGTGCCACGAAGGATGTGCATATTATCTTTAGAAAGAAGAAATGCCTTGCATGCAATAGGTCCTCACAAAATAACAGTTCTTTGCATATGAGTATAATAGTAGCCTAGAAGTCATTACTCCTGGCTTTTATTCTTATTTTTATGCTTCTTATTCCTGTGGAACAAAAAGAGAAATGCCTCAACATTTGGTTTTCAATGTAATGAATATGACCAATAGCTAACATTTCTGTAATCCCGAGCTAGGAAAGAACTGTTTCAACTGACATGTCGTCATTTGAGCACTAGGCTAGATGACTTCACCACCCCACTTTGGCAGGTGAGGAAACTTTGTTCAAGGTTGAAAAGTAGCTTATGTTCTTCAAAACTTCTAGGCTGTTAGAGGGGTAAAAGCAGCAGAAACCTTCCCATATGCTGGTTTCTGAGCCCGAGATTGAGCACTGCTTGAGGGTGCGTGTGGGGTTCTGGAGTCAGATTCTCAGGGTTACACTCTGGTTTAACCAGCGTTTATTACCTGGTCCCTGTCACTTACCCCTTCTGAGCCTTATTTTTCCCATTCGTAGAATGGATGTAATAATGTTACTGCTCGCTTAGTTCTGTTACGATGATTACATGGGATAATGCATGCCAAACGCTCAATAAATATCAGGGAACCATTACTGTCACGTATTACAAGACAAAACCGCAGAGGGCTCAACATAAAGCTTTAGAAATGAACAGTGCAAACTTGGACAAGATAAAAAGGTCCCCATTGGGTTTCTTTGTTTGCATAATGGGATAAGATCCCTCGCGGCTTAGTGTTTCTGAGGTTTAAATGGGAGAACGTATACTGAAAATTCACATCCCAACACCTGGCATGGGGTCAGCTCTTGGTGAGTAGCAATTCTTATTATGGCAATGGGGCAGGACCAATGAGTGAGAGGTCGGACGCTGATTCGGGCAGGGCAGGATCTGGAAAGCCCCGGTAAGGGAGGGAAAGAGGAAGTCTGGGAATGCAGGTGCATCAGAGTTCCTTGGCCACAAGTTCATGGCTGAGGGCCAGGTGGGAAGGAAGAAATAAGGACTTAGCTGTAAAGACCAAACCTTTGGGGCAGGAAAAGTGGGAAACAGAGGACTCAGGGTTGAAAGAGCAGAGATACCCTGACAGGGCCTGGGCATACGCGGCCTAGGAGTGCATGACACTTGGGATGAAGGCTGTCCCCCCCCAGCAAGCTCCTTACTTCTTTTGATTTGGGAGCTAAACCACACCTAGAGCCTGCTGCAGGTGAGGCTGAAGGAACTGGGATGTTGAGCCATTCCAGGCCAAGCCGGGGGCTCATCCGGTGGGTGATAAAGCACTGCCATTGTCATATGCAAACGAATGGGGTGGTGATTGCTGACATGACAAGACCAAGGAGGCTGGAAACCACCTCCCAAGTTCAGACCTTAATGCATGTGTTTTTACTGGATATCATGGCTCAGGTGTACCTGCTGGTGGGAGGCAGTGGTCTTTGGAAAACCTTGCATGCCCAAGGAGTCTTGATGGTGCTGTGTGAGTAGCTAGGCTTCTGTAAATCCTGCCTCCCGCAATGGGGTGTTTCTTGGAAATATTGATCTCTCATCCGCAGTTATAGTGAGCTTGGAGAGAAAAGGTCTAAGAAGCAAAGTTCCTCTCCTCCTCTGTAATTGGCTTCTTTGTAATAACCCAAATCTTGCCCCCTGGGGGTCTGGAGAAAACAACCATAGCCTAAGGGTCTTCCAGGACGGGAAATGGTGACAAAGAAAAACAGAGCAGGAAATAGGAGGATGAGATGTATGAGTCCTGTCTTCATCAACTGTTCCAGTGGGAGTGGGGAGAGCAGTGCTTGGAAACTGTGCTGGAGGTCTGGGAGGGGGGCGGTACGAAGCAGGCAAGAGAAGGACAGGGCTTCTATGATAAAAGAATTTTTATCCTAGCTCAACCAGGGAGACTGGCGACCAGCTCGGCATCCTGTGCAGCTTCTCAGCTCGCGGCATGGTCACAGCAGCAAGTCTGACATTCTAATACTTGAGAGAGAGTGGCCTGTGACCATCCTGGATGTCATATCAGGAGCTGGGCAGTGGGGAAAACCTAAGTTCTTTCTTCTCAAAACTCCCAAGGGCCAAACACCTGTCACTTTCTCTAGAAGGCCAATAGCTGCCTCATCGCCAAGATGAGTCAGGGCCTCATTAGTCGAAGGTGATGCTTGTTTCCATCACTGTGCACAAGGGTTTGGGGCTGAGTTGCCCATAATGAGGTTTGATGAGGACCTCCTAACTGTTCATACACTTGGTTGATGATGATCAGTGTTTCTAGAAGGATCTGTATGGTTTGGAGTAGTGGTTCTCAGACTTTGGTGTGCATGAACAATAACCTTGGTGCATTAGAAATCCAGATTCAGGGCTTGCATCTGTAATTATTTGGACTTAGTGAGTCTGAGATAACTCTAGGAGTCTGTGTTTTTAATAAACTCCCAGATAATGCTGCTGCAGGAGCACCATGAGTCTCAGAGGAAGGTAGGCGCTGTGGGATGCATTCCGGGCTGGGACTCAGGAGAAGGGAGTTGTGGCCCCGGATATTCCCCTGATGTGTTGTGCAACCTTGTGCAAATTACTTCCCACCCTTGGGCCTGTTTCCTCTATAACATAAGGGGTTGGGTTGGATCTGCAAGTCTCAACCTACCTTCGCAGTCAAATTGCTATTGAGCTTTGACAAGATGCTCCCAGAGTCTCCCAGGCTACCATGGTGTGTCCATGCATTGGGGTCACTTTGCTTGTGTATGTATGTTTAAAAAGCTTCTGGGTGATTCTAATTGCTGCTGGAATGGAGAACTACTAGATGATACCCGGTGTTCCTTCTTGTTCTAGAATTCTGAATCTGTGCACACTACAATACCTATGCCTCATTTCTTCATTAATCCCTGTTGGGGAGGAAGAGTTTTCTATATAAGACAATTTTCCAGATAATTAGAGTCCTCCATTAGGCACCAATCTCTTAAAACTTTTGCCCTTCTTTGATTTTTCTTCTTAAACAAAACATCAACATCTTTTTGATGATTTAAAGTCACCACCACGGTCATTCATTCGTGCATTTATTCAATAAATATGCATTTGGCATCCCCTGTGTGTTATAGGTGCTTATGGGAAAAAATGTCATAGTGCAGTCAAAAGATGGATGGACCATGGTCCATACTAATGAAAATGACAACCAACGTGAGCATTCATCCCTGTTACTTACTCTGTGGGGGGCACTGTTCTGGGCACTGCAGTTTCTCCATCTCATTTAATTCTTCCAACAATCCTCTGAGGCAGGTATGGTGATATCCCCATTGTACAGATGGGGAAACTAAGGCACAGAAAGGTTCTATACGTTCTCAAGGTCGCACAGATGTTTGAGGCAGAGCCAAGATTCAAATCAGGCCCCAACCTCTCTGTGTGATCAGGGTCAATCTCACTCCCTCCAGAGCCTCAGTTTCCTCCGGTGCTGAGTGACTCCAAGGCCCCTCAGAGGGGTCCCTTGACTCACACCTAATGGGTCTGTGTCTGTCCCCCCAGGTCTCTCAGGAAGTCTCTCACCTGCATCAAAGAGAGCCTGCGTATCTTCATCGACCTAGGGGAGAAAGACAAGGCTGCTGAGGCCTGGCTCGGAGCTGGGCGACTCCACTACCTCATGCGGGAAGATGAGCTGGTGGAGCTGTACCTACAGGTAGGCCTCCCGTAGAGCTCATCTGCCCACTTGGGCCATTAGAGGAGACAGCTGTACCCTCCAAAGTGACCGGCTGTAGCTAGAGAGTGGTGATATCCATGCTGAGCCCTTGGAGGGAGGGTCGACCCTGGGATGCTCCCTGGGCACGAGATGGAATCCAGGGAGGTCTGGTGACCAACAGTCCCTGAGTCCCAGACACATGCATGAGCTCTCAGAGGACGTGCTAGGAGACTCACTCATCTGTCATGTCAAGTAGATCTACTTTTGCTAAGCTCAACACACACCTTGCCTTTGGGGTTCCACTGCAATGTGAGGCAAGGCTGATGTGTGCAGGGCGTTGACAGTACTGTCCCCTTCCAGTGTCCCTTTAATAGCTGACATATGGTAGAGGGTAGTGGCTAAAAGCCTTGGAGAGACACAGGCCTGGAATCTAATCACAGGGCCATCGATCACGGACTGTGTGACCGTGGGCTTGCTACATCAGCTACTTCTGCTATGTCGTGGGGCCTCAGTGTCTTCATGGGTAAACCCGATCTCTTAGGGTAAGGGTTAGGTGTGTCACTTGCATAGTAAATGCATATGCAAAGCAAGCATTTACTAAATGCCTGGGACTTAGTAAATTCTTTTTTTTTTTTTTTTTTAAGATTATTTATTTATTTATTTATTTGACAGAGACACAGCAAGAGAGGGAACACAAGCAGCGGGGGGAGTGGGAGAGGGAGAAGCAGACTTCCCGCTGAGCAGGGAGCCTGATGTGGGACTCGATCCCAGGACCCTGGGATCATGACCTGAGCCGATAGCAGACGCTTAACGACTGAGCCACCCAGGCGCCCGTAAATTCTTAATGAATGGTATTTTACTATTATTATTAAAAATCCCTTGGATTTTTTCTTTTTAATCATCATTTCCGTTATCTGCACGAGGCTGACATTATGGTGGTATATATTATGTGTTCCATTGAAAATATGCCAGTTATCTTTTCTTCCTTCCCATTTCTTATTTTCTCCCTATTATTCCCCTTATTACTTAAACTCACACAAACCCACTTCCACCGAGGCTTAATTATGGCTGTGTGGCACTGGGTGTGTACTCAACTGTGCACAGATTTTGCCCGCACGTCACATACCTGTTGTAGTTGAACCCTCATTCCAAATGCAGCAGGAGTTTCTACTCAAACTCCCATTCTACGGATGTGGCTCAATGAGCCCGAGTAACCTACTCAAGGTGATCTGGCTGGTAAGTGGTGAAAACTGCACACGGACAGTGTGACATAATGCCTTCACTCTCAGCCTCTACGCTATTCTGCCGTGGGATGTTAGAGCTGGGAGGGTTTTCAGAGAGCAGATAATTAGGTCTTGCCTTTGGCTCTCCGGGAGGCGAGGCCCAGAGAGAGCTGAGCTGTGGGGTTGTTTGTTGCTTGGCGGCAGAGCCTCTGGATGGCAGGATCCCATCTCCCTGCCTGTGCCTCTGTACAGTGGGGTCTTGCCCCAGAGACTCCCTGGCCAGGCCTGGTCCCAGGCCCGCACAACCCCAGACTGGTTCCTGCTGTTCTGCAGGGCCATTCTCAACCTCAGGCTCTCTGAGGTCCCCTGGTGGTGCTGCAGATGCTGTGGGGTCCACCCACCACTTCAGCTTCCTCTCCGCCTTCTGTTTAGATGCAGTATGGAAGCAAGAGATAAAGAGGTCCTAGGTGCCAGGAGAAGGGTACGGGGCTGGAAGGCACTAGCATTTCTTTGCCACTAACTGCTATGTAAACGCAGAGTTCCCGTCTCCTTTCTGAGCCTCAGTTTCTCCATCTGTGAAGTGCAGGTGTTGGATGAGATCACTGTTTTCCAAACTGCAGCCATTTATGGGTGAAGTTCATGGTTTTGCCATGTTCATGTATTTTCTGTACCATTACTATTTTCTTTGACTCAGCTTCAAATCAACTTAGTTTTTTACACTAAATAACACTCTCTGAAATCACAGGTGTGGATGTATTATTAATCTTTTCTCTAAAACACATTAAAATAAATACTGAACTATTAAAACATAAGATGTTTGTCTATGTACTGCTCAAAATCGTCTCTCGGGCTACCACAGCAGTCTCTCATACCGTGGTGGGGAAATGCCGGACTGGGGAGTCGCAAAGCCTTCTTACTGGTCCTGTGAGTGTGGAGGACAGTTCAGCGTTCGGAGGATGTGAGCAGAGGGTTAAACCAGGTGGTCAGGATCTCATTCCTGTCGCTCCTGTGGATATTTGGAAGGCCTCTCTGCCTTTGACACCTGTCTCTGTCCCATCCAGGCAGCCATCCAGAAAGCCCTGAAGTCTGAGGAGCCCTCTCTGGCTCTCAAACTCTATGAAGAAGCAGGTGATGTGTTCTTCAATGGGACCCGCCACAGGCACCGTGCGGTGGAGTATTACCGAGTAAGTCCCGGGCTGCTCCGTGCACCAAGCTGGGCCCTGGTACAAATGTGGGCAGGGCTACGTGGCCTGGGGTCCCCTTCCCCTCTCTTGCTGGGATTCCTTTTTCTTTCCTTCCTCATCCAGTGCCCACCTGCTCTCCCTTTTTTTCAATCAACGGGCTCTCAAAGAAGGGGTTGATAAACTCTGTCATTCCTGGGCTTGATAAATTATCCTTTCTGGGAAAACACACCAAAATAATTACACCTCTTGGGTGCATGGTACTTTACCGTTTCTAGCATAATTCTGTGTTTACCAGAATGTTCCTGTGTACCACTGGTGGCATGGTAGGAGAGGAGGGATCCCTGGATGAACGCTTTCGTTTTACTATGTTTTTATCAAGTGTGCGCATTCAAATATATTTTAAAAATTAAAAATGTGTAACACCAGCACATCAAACCCATGACTTCACAGATATTATTGCAAAGGATGAGGCAAAGTAATAAAAGACAGTTGATTTAAAAATAATAGTAATTAAATAATTGTGCAGATGTTAAATGGATATGTCAAAATCATAATTGTTCATCACTGACTGAAGGTCGGAAATCTCATTATCTTATTTGACCCCAAAATTTCATTTATTCATTCATTTGCTCATTCAGCTCTTTATTCAGTCATCAAACATTTATCAATGTGCCAGGCACTGAGCTAGGGGTGGGGAGAACAAGAAGCATGTCCCTGACTATTGAGCTACTCATTGTTCTGTGCACTTTAGAGATGAGAAAATTAAGTCTAGAGGGATGAAGTGACCTGCCTACATTCTATCATAATAAAAGTAATAGAAATGACCATTTGTTGGGCACTCTCAGACACCATGTGCATACTCCACAGATGGTGCTGTGGTTGCTAATGGATCATGTGGCTGGGAGGTGAGTACGTTCCCATGTGGCCTCAAGAAATGTCATCTTCCTTTTCCCCATCTCCGTTTTTCTGGTCTTAGGAGGTCTGATGACCTTTAGTTCTCCTACCTCTAAAATCTGGGCAGAGCAACCAAGAGCAAGGGCCAGGAGAGCGAGCTGTGAAAAGCCGTGGCCATCCCCCCAACCCCTACCAGCAAAATGTAAGCCTCCTAGAGTACGGTCTGTACTAAGGATTCTTAGCTGGACTATGTTTCCATGTGCTTCTGTTCTCAGGCCGGGGCCGTTCCTTTAGCGAGGAGGATGAAGGCCCTGAGAACAGAGCTCCGGGTTTTCAATAAACTGACGGAGCTGCAGATCAGCCTGGAAGGCTATGAGAAGGCTTTGGAGTTCGCCACCTTGGCGGCCAGACTCAGCACGGTCATAGGTAGGTGGTCCTGATGGTCGGCCATATTGAATGGGAGGGCTGCCCGCTTATCCAATGTGGGGATAACATAGTAGTAACAGCAGAGGCGCTGGGGTCAGACTGCGTGGGTTCAAATCCCAGGTCCAGCTGAGATCTTATTGTAAGCAAGCTGCCTAATGTCTATAAGCCACAAGTGTGTCATTGGCAAATGGGGATTAAAAACAGCCCGCACCTCATGCAGTTGTTATGAAGACCAGTGATTATCCGTGTAAAACCCACAGCACAGAGCTTGATACCTAAGTCCTTGCTGAGTGTTACCTGCACCATACTGATTATCATTCCACCGTTGGCATTGTTCCCCAGTGCAGGGTAAGTGGTATTTTATCCTGTGCACAGGCAGTGCCCCTGTTACCAGAGGCCTCTGCCCTAAATTTTTAATGGGTTGATTGTTAGTCAGAAGCACATTTTCCACACGGAATTGAAAAGTAAATGAAGATCAAATTCCCATGAACTTAACTCACTGTGTAGCTGAGAAAGCTTGCAATGACCCCAGAAGCTAGTGGGAAACAGGAAAAAGGCAGAATAAAAAAAAAAAAAAAAAGACAAAAAAAAACCCCTCCTCTTGAATGTTGGTCTTGAGGAAAAGCAGGTTTGATTAGAGAAGGCTTGATTTGATGGAGGGGCAAATGGAGTCTTCTGGGAGGATTCTAGAAGGGACTTCTGGGCATTCTCAAGGGCCTGAGATGTGGATGGCACTGGACTTTATTGTGTCTAATTGCACTTCAGAGCTCTCTCTCTCCTTTACCTACCTTTTTCTTTACTGCAGAAAATCTTATCTGAGGGACAGTCTGCTATCTCAGGAAAGGCGGTGGGAGCCCCAGGCAGCTCCCACTCTGAGCACTCCTTTATCCTTCCCTGGACAGAAGCTGAAAGGAGGCTATTTCCACCCTTTTATGCACTTCCCCGTGACTGGATTTTTCCATATCAGAGAATTTTCTCTCCCTTGGATTTTTTTCTTTTATTTTTGGCTTTTGTCTCTTTGAAGCTTAAAAGTGATGTTTTTCAGATTGCATCAAACAGCCACCTTGCAAATATTCCAAAACCACAATGGGAAGCCTTTGTTCTCTTTAAAAGTCCACTTTGTATTAAAGGAGTTGGTTATTAAAACAACAGACCCACCAAAACCCAAAACAACAAATCATAGACCCATTAGACACCAAGGTTCTAAAGCACAAGTTAGAAGGGGGGTTGGGGGTCGTTCTCTGTAGTCATCTGAGACTTCGAGCTGGTGAAGGAGCCAGAGGGTGACTGCTACTGGGGGCAGCCCCAGGGAGCTCTCTGAAGGGGGAGGCTTCATGTGGAGAAGACCTTTGTACTACAGAGATATTCATTACAAAGAATCCTTAGCTGCCCCATCAAGCTAGTCTTGTCACCATGTTTCATTACAGGGATTTGGGAATAATCATTTCCCAGAATCTTGAGTTACAGAAACATCTGTTAAAAAGAGAAAATTTTTTTCAGGAAATCGTCCTATAAAATCTTGACGAGCACACGTGCTCCAAGCAGTCAGTCACTCCCAGAGCCTGGTGTTTTCTTTTGCATCCCTTACCACAGGTGTAATTTTGCCTTCGTGTGTGAGATTATTTAAGGGACATCTGTGTCCTAGGAGACAGTGAACCTCACACAAGGCCAGGGACCTCTTCTGCTTTATTCTGGGTATCCCAAGCACAGTCCCCGATCCTTAGAAGACCTTCAAAAAATAGCAGAGAATGGGGTGAGTGATCGGATGCCCATGAAGCATTGGCTGCGAGATCTCTCCCTTAGTCTTCCAATTCCTAGGAGATCAGAAGCAGGAGCTGGTGGCCTTTCACCGTCTGGCTACAGTCTACTATTCCCTGCGCATGTACGAGATGGCTGAGGACTGCTACCTGAAGACTCTGTCTCTCTGTCCACCCTGCCTGCAGAGTCCCAAGGAGGCCCTATACTACGCGAAGGTGTATTATCGCCTGGGCCGACTCACCTTCTACCAGCTGAAGGTAAGAGCCAGGCTTACAAGGCTGTGTGAGAGCTGCAGTCCCACCCTATTCTTCCCTGACCCTCCGCCTTCAGGGTAGAGTCGCATGGCCCAAGATGGGGAGTCACATCTCATAGGGTGGGGAGTGACTCCTCTGGGGACATGATGGTTCTTTTCAGCCCCAGTGGAGACCTCAAAGATGCTCCTGTCTGCTGAGGAGAGGGATCCTAGCTCCCCTGTCTCCTTACCCTGCTATGACTTCCATAGCCACTTTATCTGTCAGGTACTATGGGGACATTGCCTCGTCCCTGTGAGTTCCTCGAGGGCCTAAAGAAATGTGTGAGATGCAAAACAAAACAACTATAAGCTCCAACATTGAAATAAAAATTAATACTTGGTGTGCGGCGGCGGTGTCGGCAGCGGCTGCAGCGAGAGGGTTTGGCGCGATGTCTCCCACCATTTTGCTGGTACAGCCTACCAAGAGGCCAGAAGGCAGAACTTATGCTGACTATGAATCTGTGAATGAATGCATGGAGGGCGTTTGTAAAATGTATGAAGAACATCTGAAGAGAATGAATCCCAACAGCCCCTCTATCACATATGATATCAGTCAGTTTGATTTTATTGACGATCTGGCAGACCTCAGCTGCCTTGTTTACCGAGCTGATACCCAGACATACCAGCCCTATAACGAAGACTGGATTAAAGAGAAGATCTACGTGCTCCTTCGTCGGCAGGCCCAACAGGCTGGGAGATAGCTGAGTTAGAAGCAGTGGGGGCTGGGGGTGGGCTTGGAACACAGGTGTGTACAGCATGCTGCAGTGGCGGCTCCGTATTATAGTAATCCTGTCTCCATCTTGGTGTACTCTAGCCAGGATGGAAGGTATTAGATGAAATGTGAGGATCTTGTTCAATCTGAAACCCCCATTGCCCCCTTCCCCTCCCTTTTTTTTTTACTTAAACATTTTTATGATAATTTAGATGGAACTTGTTTGTCAGTTAATCTTGGTTCCAGTCCTTCAAACTGTTCATATCTACTTTATAACATTCGCTGTACTAACCCTTCAGGTTGGGGTGGGGGGGTAGTGACAGTTTAGTTACATGCTCAAGATAAAGTCTTAGTGAAAAATGAATAAATGTTCTTTAGTTATAAAAAAAAGAAATAAAAATTAATACTTAATTGTGTGTCTTCAAAATATTATAGGTTAACTAGTCAGTTGTGACATATTTCTTATAAAGTTATATAAAACTCTAGGAGAAATCTGGGTACATGCTAACATGTTTGAGATAGTGAGGTAGGGTCTAGGAAGGCAGACACGTCTCTGTCCTAATGAGGCCTTAGCCCTGACTCTCATGTTTGCTCGGTGGGAGTTGAATTCAGAGCTTCTTATTTTTCCAGCCGCTTCTGGAACTGTGTTGGAGGTCTGAAAGTCTCTGTTACAATTCTGGCCCTCGAACTTTGTCCCCGGTATTGGCTTCCCCTTACCAGAGGTCTCTGTCTGCACCAGCACAGCCCTTAATCTCTTAATATCCTCTGAGTCACGCATGTGTTTGGCCCCCAGGGGAACCTCAGGGCAACTCTGCTGTTCTTTTCTTATTTACCAGACATTGTTTCTGGCCTGAATTAATTATTGACTTATGAGGGTTAATGGGAACCAGACATCCCTTTTTGAATCTCACCCAAAGAAGCATCTGTTCCTCATTCCTACCATGTGGGGAGGGACGACGGTAGTGAAGGGCTCCTCAGCCATCTTGCCTCTGTCCCCTCGCTCCCCAGAAGTGGTTCGGGGAAAAAGAGTGTATGACCGTATTGACTCAACCAGGGGATCTAGGGCCCAGGCAGAGGAATTCAACTCAAATTAGCTTAAACAAAAAAGGCAATTTATTGGCTCAAGTAACTGGGAAGTTCAAGTATAAATTTAGGAGTTTTAGGTAGTTCTGGATGCTGGTACTCAAATGTCATCACAGATTTCCTCACCTTTTCCTGTTTCTCTTCCCTCTGTATGTTTTTACTTCTCTCTGTTTCTTGGTGTCCTTTGCATCCAGCTATTGGTAGGCTCAAGCCCATGGCTAAGAGGGTGAGGGACCATTTGCTCTGTGAGGTCACGCTGAGAGGTCCCAGGGAATGACTGGGCTAGGTCGGCCTGAGTCATTTAGGAATCCCTGAGGCCCTGGGCCCAGGATGATGCCGCTTCATGATTGGCTGAGCCTGGGTGAGGTACCACGCCTGTGCCTGAGGTTGGAGGGCCACTGAGGGAGCAATGTCACCTGTCCGGTCCACAGTAGAGTGGGGCAGGAGGTCCCCTAGGAACCAGGAGGAGGGGTTGGGAAAGTGTGTGGGGCAGACAGAAGCTCGAGTTCTGAGTCCCCGGCACTGCCTCTTGGCCTCTCCCGGAAATGTTTGCTTACAGCTGTCTCTTCTCTGCCCCCTTGCTGTGGGGTTAGGATGCCCATGATGCCACCGAGTACTTCCGGCTGGCCCTGGCAGCAGCGGTCCTGCTGGGTGACGAGGAGCTGCAGGACACCATCAGAAGCAGGCTGGACAACATCTGCCGGAGCCCCCTGTGGTACAGCAGCCCCTCCGGGCGCTCCTCAGAGAGGGCGCGGTGGCTGAGCAGCGGGGGGCTGGCCCTCTGAGGACAGCTGTCCCAGATCTGACCAGTGGCCGTGGCCAGAGCTGCCTCCCCACCCAGGGCTCCTCCACCCCGACCTGGGGGGATCCCTGTCATCACTTGGCCCAGCCCTTAATCTTCCCAGGGGACAAGCACAGCCCAGAGGGAGAGGGGCTCATTCCAGGTGGGCCACACAAGGAGTGGATGATAGAGCAGGGATTGGAAGTCCTGGCTTTGTGTCCAGAGCGTTTCCAGCGGACTCAAGTCCACGCGTACAGCCTCTGAAAAGCACTTTGTCAATACACAGCTCTCCTAGAGAAAATGAGAAAGCTTGCCCCTAGGGGGAGCCTCTCTCCTGCCCACAGTGAGGAAATGAGGCACACTGACTTCTCTCAGGGAAAGCCCCCCTCCCCCTGCCAGCAGAGAAACTGGTAGTTTCTTGCTTCTCTTTCTTCAGCCAAAGGAGGTCCTCCTCCCCCTGCCCATGGGGACTGGTGGGTGGGAACTCACCATGCTCTTGGCTCAAAAGACGGCCTCAGAATGGCCAGCTCAGCGCACAGGGCCTGGGGTCTCATGCGGATTCACTTCTCCATCCTGCCTGAAGCTCTGCTCCTCCATAACCTTCCAGAAACTCCGGGAGGCTCCTCAAGGGCCAAGGCTGAAACACTGAACACTAAGAAAATTATGACATAAATTACATGTAAATCGTGTATATTATTAAATATTGCTCATCTACATTTATGCACATTTGTCTCCTTTATAATGGGGAGAGATGAGATGGGGGAGGCTTGAAGGTTGGTTTAAATACCAAGGTGCCATATGGATTTCAGGGCAGCTCCTCAACGAAGCATCTCTATCAGTTATCTGTCACTGCATAACACATGGGGTGGCTTGAAACACCCTTTATCTCACGATTTCTGTAGGAAGGCAGGAACCCAAGCATGGCTTAGCTGGTCATCTGGCTCCGGGTGGCTCACAAGGCTACTGTCAAGGCTTGTCAGCTTCGGTCTCCTCAAGCTTAGCTAGGGGAAGGCTCTGCTTCTAAACTCACACCCACGGCTGTTGGCAGGAGTCGGTTCCTTGCTTGCTGTTGGCCAGAGGCTGCCCCCAGATCCCCGCCATGTGGGCCTCTCCACAGGGCAGCTCACAACATGGCAGCTGGCTTCGTCAGGGAGCAAGTGAGAGAGAGCCGAGTGAGAGAACAGTCTCGGCTTAACCTCATCTCAGAAGTGACATCCAATTAGTTTTGGATGTCATGCTAGGTCCAGCCCACAGGAGGAGGGAGAGGTACACCAAGGGTGTAAATACCAGAAGACAGGGAATCACTGGGGGCCTTTTCAGAAGCTGCCTACCTCAGTATCTGAGTGCTTTGATAATGGAATCAGGAATTCCCTAAGGCAGTGAATCCCAAGTATGGTCCGCTGACTGGACCAGCAGCATCAGCCTCCCTTGTGAGATTGTTTGAAATGCAAATTCTGGGGCCCATCTAAGACCTCTGAATCAGAATCTCTGGAGCCCTAGCTTTTGCCTTGCTCTCCAGATGATTCACTAAAGCATTGGAAACACGGCTTTGGAGCCATGGTTCTCAGATAATGTGCAAAAGAATCGCCTGCAGGACTTGCTGAAAATGAACTTTCTGATTCCTACTCCAGTAATTCTGATTCAATAGGTCTGGGAGATGCCCCAGGTACATGCATTTTTAAATGAGTGACTCAGGTGATCCTGATGCAGGGGGTTCACCTTTGTTCTGAAATGCGGGAACATACAAGACGATCTAGCCATAGGGCTGGCCACCGATGCCCAGCAGCTTAGATTTTATCGGACCCTCTGCCCTTAATTTCTAGCTTCTTGGGCCCACCAGATGGTTGGTAGTGCGGTGGGTTGGGATTGGGGTGTTAAGTTGAGTCAACATGGCATCTTCTGGTCATCAAGATCGTCTACACATCAGTACATCTTATTTTCTTTTAGGAACTTGGTTGGTTGCCAAAACGGTCTCTGTTCTAGAATATTCTTCTCCAGGAAGGAAACGAAGTGACCTAATCCACAACCATGTAAAATAGATGTGATTTTGTTCCCACCACAAACTGTAAAATCCCTGAGCAGGGAGGGATGTTGTGGATGGGTCTAACCTCCCAGGCAGCGTCCTTTCAACAACATTCCTGGGAGACAGACAAGGGCACATGTGTTCCAGAACAGTTATGCCTCTTATTTTGAAGAGGGCTTGTTTGGCCCTGGAACCCATGCCATGAACCATTCCCCATTTGTCTCAGGTTTCAGCCCCTTTCCCTTTTCCCACTGACCTATTACTCTCCTCTGGCCAGATGCTAGTTTCAGCTCTGAAAGTGTGCTTCCCATAATGCACCAGGCTTCGGGACTGGCTTGTGGGGAGAGTAGAGAGAGAGGTTACTGTACTTCATGTGATTTAGTGTTGTAGTTTAACATTGCATTAAGATTTTTATTCTCTCCAGCAGTCACGTCTTACCTCTGGCTCACATTCAGCTTATGATCAATTGAAACCTCCTCCTCCCATGTGAGCTTCTGTTTCTCTAGATCTTTCTTACCTGCTACAAATCTATATATGTAAAAGAAAAAAAGATATATATATACACACACATATATATATATACCCTATATGTATGTATTTATTTTTCAGTGAAGGGTATTTTATCTACCCATTTTATATTTCGTTAGGAATTTTAGCTAAAATTTTCTGATTCTATACACCTTGGTTCATCTGTAAACCTGGTACCTTTGCCTCTACCCAGATCATTTATAAAAATGTTCAGCATGTTTCCAAAGACGAGGGTAGGATTCATTTTTAAATGAGAAAAACATTGCATTGTAGCATTGCAATTGCTACATCCTATATGAAATCGCTCTGCTAAAATAGTCTTTAAAAGTGTTTCAGAGGGGCGCCTGGGTGGCACAGTCGGTTAAGCGTCTGCCTTCGGCTCAGGTCATGATCCCAGGGGATTGAACCCCGTATCAGGCCCCCTGCTCAGCGGGAAGTCTGCTTGTCCTTCTTCCTTTGCTCTTCCCTCTGCTCGTGCTCTCTCTCTCAAATAAATCAATAAAACCTTAGGGAAAAAAATGAAAGTGTTTAAGAATCCCATTTAAAAAATATGGTTAACTGGGGCACCTGGGTGGCTTGGTTGGTTAGGCGACTGCCTTTGGCTCAAGTCATGATCCCGGAGTCATGGGACTGAGTCCCACATCGGGCTCCCGGCTTGGCAGGGAGTCTACTTCTCCCTCTGAACCTCTCCCCTCTCATGCTGTTTCCCTCTCTCTCTCAAATAAATAAATAAATGGAAAAAGTCTTTAAAAAATATGGTTAACTATTCCCCTTGAAATCATGTTGATGCTCCCCTCCCCCCCAATCTACAGAGTGTGGAGTGGTGATTGGATCTGGTCTGTATTGAAGCAGGTTCTGTTGTATATATATCGTGGCCAAAGGTGAATGAATTAGTTACCCTTTTTAGCCTTGTCCTCCCCTAAAAGTTGGGAGAGCCACCCAGCTCCCGGCTGCTTGTACCTAACCTGAATAAAGAACAAGGAGGGGATTACACATTGTGGAAACCCCCGTAACGTGTTTTCTCAACTTTAAGGTGCATCTCTATCCTACCCAACAGTGTTACCACTCTGAAATCCAGTATTGCTGTGATCCTTTGCTTATTTGCTTCTTGGTTATTTTAAGATGTCTTCAAATTGTGTCTCTGTGTGCATGTGTGTGTGTGTGTGTGTGTGTGTGTGTGTTTGCTTGTGCTTTGTAAGTAACACCTGGGGAAGGGAGTATGTAGGGGTGGAAGGTGTCAGAATTAGGGGGAGAAACAGATCACCAGGTTAGGTGAGACCTGTATTTTGGTCTTGAATTGGACATTAAATTGCACTGTGACCTTGGGCAAGTCACTGAGTCTCAATACCTGTCAGATCTCTGATCTGTGATATAAAAAGGATAATCACCTCTGGGTTCCTTCTCAGCAATGCTGTTCCATACCATATGAGAGCAGGAAAAGAGATTTTTACCTGGGAGATATATATTTTTATGACCCCATTTTATTCTCTTCTTTTATAGGTGAGTAAACTGAGAAATAGAAAGTAATTTTTTCCCCGTTACAGAGGATGTTAGTGGCAAAGACAGCAGTACTCAGGATCTCATGACCCAAGGACTTCACCGTACTAATGACAGTGCTTCTCTCGCTCAGGGTGACCTTCCTGCAGGGATGCATGTGTGTGTATGCATGTGTGTATGCATGTGCGTGCATGTGCGCGTGCATGCGTGTATGCACATGTGTATGTGTGCATGCGTGTATGCATGTGTGTGCATGTGTGCATGCATGCATGCGCATGTGTATATGCACATGTGTGTATGTGTGTGCATGTGTGGGTGCGTGTGTTATGCACTTGTGTGTATGTGTGTGCATGTGAGTGCGTGCATGTGTATGCATGTGTGTGCATGGGTGCATGCATGTGAGTGTGCACATGTGTGTATGTGTGTGTGCATGTGTGTAGGCACATGTGTGTATGTGTGCATGTGAGTGCGTGCATGTGTGTATGCATGTGCGTGCATGTGTGCGTGCATGTGTGTATGCATGTGCGTGCATGTGTGCGTGCATGTATGTGTGTGCATGTGTGTAGGCACCTAGGCGGTTTTCACCATATGTGCCATCCGAGCAACCATTTCTCAAGTGTTTTCTAAATTGATTTGTTTTCTTTACTCATATAAATTAATTTATAAAGGATGACTGGTCTGTGTAGAAGGAAAACACAAGTTTTGCTTTCCAGAAATAGAATTTCATAAATGAAAACAAATACAGTGAAAACAAAACAATGCACCACATTCAAACTAGGTCCTGTTGCCCACAGCAGATGCCTGACCTCGGCTTGATCTGGCATTATTTGACAATAAAAAAATGAACAAGTGGCAGGGAGCATTGCAGGCAGACTAACACAGTTCTCCTGGAGCAATCAAAGAAATGGAGAAAGCAGCGCAAAGGACTGAAATCCTCACAATGACAGTCAGTGCTATTCAGTGCCATGCCTGACACGGACTTCCCACTTCAGGGA